AAAAAAGGAAAAGAGAAACTAAGAGAAAAACGTTTCCAGAATCGGTAAGTGACGCGGCACGGAACAACAAAAGCCACTTTTACGCCACGTCTGGCAACGAGCAGTTGGCACACGCAAGTAAGTTCAATATTAATAAATAAAATATATAATTCGGCTTTAATGCATATTTCCGTTATGCTCAAATAAACACGGTGAAATCACATGTAAATATGAAATTTTTTTTAAATTTGCAAACAAATGTAAATGACATTTTAAAAGAGAAGATTAAGATATGGGCGGTGTTCTTATCGATCGTAATAAATACCTAAGTTTTTCATTCTATTCTAGAAATTCTTTACATAGTTCCTTACACAATTTAGTATTCAATGCACCATCAAATTATATTTGATCTTATGTAGTTTAAAAATGATTAACAAAAGTATTCTTTGTTTTATGTTGTTGATTATTATTAAAGTTATATTATTGGCAATTGTTGAGTCGTAATTGCATGACTTCTTGAATATTGCATGATGCTCTATATGATTGACCATTATGCTTTCTGATAATTATGTTTGTTTAGGTCAAATTTGCTACGACAACGGTGACTAGGCAGGGGGACTTTATATACAAGAAAGAAACAATAAATAACATATTTTTAATATGATATTGAAAAATATGCTGAATTAGACAGATTTCTTTTGATGACCATACAGTTCATTTATGCGATATCTTACCAACATATACGTTAATTATAATAATTTATTCACGAGACACACTTTGTGTACTTTCAATGGCGAAGTAGTATATACATTATACAGTATATTGATAGCCATTTGAATACAGCTTGCTGCGATACAGAAATTAACAAGTAAATTGAACGTATTTTCTACCGCGAATTGAAATAAAAATGGCTAGCAGATGGAAAATTTTCGGCTTGCTGATGTACAAAAATTTAATAATACGCAAAAGGCATTGGCGTATGACAATATTCTTACAAGCTTTAGTACCCATTGCATTAGTTGCGTTACTGCAAGCTATAAGAGAGTTCAACGTTAAATCGCCAGTTGCGGTAAACGTTAGCACGCTTTATCCTGTACAAACACAACAGGATTTAATGCGAAAAATTGATAATGATAAACATCAAGTGCATTATGTGCCAAAAAATGCACATACAGACAAGATTATGTTTTCCGTCAGAAAATGTATTGATAGACTTCAGCCTGACAGTAAGTATGAAATGGCGATTGAGAAACGTAAATAGTGTTGTTTTTTTAATAATTTAAATGACTAATATAATTATACTTTTTCTGTTTTTATATAGACATCAAAGGTTTTACTAATGAGACTGAAATGATGAATACTTACGTACGTTACCAGAAACAAAATCCGTTTCTTACTGTAGTGGGAGTTGTTTTTGAACAATATAACAAACTTACGTTAAAATATAAATTGAGGCATTCACGGACGATTCCAAATAATTTGTACAAAAGTTTATCAGAGTTCATTAACCTTTGGAGAATGTCACCTACTATATATTTCGAAAACATTCCACTTGCTCAAGTTCAGATTTGTGTAGACGAAGCGTTTATAAAAAAAACAGCAACAAATTCCAATGTTAAGGTATCGTAAACTTCTTACAAAAAATACATAAATATATTTTAATAATTTTATTATCCAAACCAGTTTTAAAAAATATGGATATTTATATATATGTAAGAACAGACAACTGGATAACATATAATATCTGTGATATGACGGAATTATTTTTTACCATTTTTTGATATTTATTTTTCAGATGTCAATAGATCGGAAGAGCACACGTC